TTCACTTGGATGAATTTTTTTTTTTGTTGCACACGCACTCAGCGACGTGTCCGAGGCCCGATGCGCCCTCCCCGTTGAACAATATTCAACAGGGAGGGCCCGTTGTACTATTCAACGGGGATTCAACTGGGGCCCAAGGGCTATTCAACGGGTACAACGGAATTAAAACTTTTCCGTTGCACGTTGAATGGACACATAGCCCTCTGCCACCAAGGATCCCATCTGATCTGTCGGCGCASCCAACGCGCCATGTAGCAAACATCGGCAGACCACGGGATAGAGACCAAAACCCGCACGTCATCCCCTCACATTGTGTCCTGCAAAATGTCCTGCAGGGCCATGAGCCTCTCCAATATGGAGGACACAGACGTAAACCCTATCTTGCATGAAAGAACAAGACCGAGGTTGGGGTTGCGCTTCATAAAAAAATGAAGGGCCGCCTGGYGGGTTTTGAAAAACACCACCAGCACACGAGCGAGTGTGATAGTATCAACAAACGCGTGGCAACACGTCCCCATGTCTGACAACAATCTGTTGCAGACATGGACTAAGCATGGGAGCCAAGTGATCCTCCTCAATGCTAGAGGCATGGTCTCTGAGATCAGAGACCTGGCAGCCCCAACGTACGCTGACGTGGAGTCGGTGCATATCGCATTGACCTGCTGCGGCCCGCCGAACCTGAACTCGTGGAAAATGGTGACCCATCTCCGAAGGATGTGCTCAGCATCGTCCGGCTCCCCATCTCGATTGATCGTCGTGTACATGACGACCCCTCGAGACCCTGCGGCGAGGAAATTAATGATCGGTCTCCCGTCCCGTGATTTCCTCCCGTCTTTAAGGATGGTGGCGCCAGTCACTCAAAATGGTTGCCTCACCTCCTCCAACTCCTCGACCAACTCCGCACGGTGGATCTCCACTGCCTACATGCTCGCAATCTCGCTGTGGCTAGGGAGCACAGCACGAGGCGAACTGCCAGGCTGTTGAAGAAGCACCTGCTGATATGCCCTCCATGCCTCATTGCGAAAGGCATTGAAGGAAACCCCGTTGGAATAAACCCAGCGAAGGAACGTTTTCTTGTGGCGAGTTACCCACTCGCCACCATACTCCTCATCCACCTTCTGCTGTCTAAGCCTCTTTCCAGCTTGGGTGGTCGCCGGAACAGCTCCCCCTTCCTTCCTCTTGGAATAACCCTCCCCCGTCGGATCGTGCGCAGGAGGCAGTTGCCCCTTGCCCCCTTGCCGCTGTCAGTCCACGATCCTCTCCCTCGTCAATGGATCGAACTCGGGCTGATCCTCGTGTCCCGGGAATCCCTCCCGGGACAGCCACATGCCTCGCAATCATCGATGATCAYATCCCCCTCGATGTCACCGCCTCTACCCCCCAATGGCTGGTTGGGCTCACACTGCCCAATATCTCCCCCCCGCCCCACCTCCTGCGGCCGCTCCACCGGCCCGGGGCACATCAAGTCCACTCTCYGCTGCAAACCTCGAAATCCTCTCCAACAGGTCGGCCCCGAACTTTAGTTGAGTCCGTTTTCCGATCTCGTACAAGGGCTCATCAGTGACGGCCTTGCAGTAATTGGTCTGCATGAAGTGCGTGGTTGCCTGGAATACTTTGTTGCAAAATGTGCAACGCAACATCATCACCCCCTTGTTGTCGTCCTTCTGGCCGACGACAAGGTACCAATACACAAGGGACCTTCCCCTGAACGCGTCCTGCACATCCTTAGAAGCGAGCTCATGCTCGCATCGTTGTGCCGTCCCCATCGCGAGTATCTCGTTTGCCGCTCTGAACCTTCGACTCGAAGTCTTGTCAACCCTTCGAAATCAACTCCAGAAACCCTCCCAACACAACCTCCCCCGSCCCCCGCCCCTGTCGTGCCCGCCCCAACCCCCCCCCCTCCTCCCGCAATACCCCCCGAACGGCCGCCTGCCCCTACCCCTCGACACGAATAGGCCGCCGAACGGCTGCGTTCAATCGCGTCGAATCGCGTTCAGTTGCGTTAAATGCAATTGAACGTGTTTAACGTCGTCGAATTAAAAATTTAACGGCGTGTGTCGGCGCTGTGCGCTTATGAAACACCCACGAACGCGTCTGTGGGGTCCAGCTCGGATGACGGCCGTATATACGGCCACGTCCGCGATCGACCTRGTCCGCACCGCGGACCCGAATTTACCATATTTTTCCTGAATTAAATCATGGGTTGAAAATATATATATATGGGGTTGTAGGGATTTTTAATCCCTACAACCCCATAGTTTTGTTTTTGGAAAAATCTAAGTGTTTATAATTATAAAAAATAAAAAACAGAAAAGGTGGAGAAGAGAAATTAAAAAAAAAAAAAAAGTTTTTTTTGGGGGGGAGGGATTTTTGGTTGGCAGTTCTTTGTATTCTTCTTTTATACGGTTTTTTTTTTTTTTTTTTTTTGTACTAAAGAAACAATAAAGGAATGGAAAATATATATATTAATTTGATTTCCGGGGCCTTTTAATATTTGTGTGTGAACGTGTGCGTGTGTGTGTGTGTGTGTGTGTGTGAGAGAGAGAGAGAGAGAGAAAGAACAGCTATGAGTGCGTGTGTGTGTGTACAGTGCCGTACCCGTGAACGTGACCGGCCATTCATTTGGTGTTTTTTTGTGAGCAGCCGTTCACGATGAACGGGCCTACCAGTAAGGAGTGGTGTTTTTTTTTTTTTTGGGGGGGGGGGGGCTTCCCCAGGTACATTCGCCTCAACCCGCAGCGTGATGACATTGAAAAAATAAAAACAAATCAAAATGACCTAGAAAATAGCAAACGAAAATGCTATTTTGGCTTGTTGATTTTTTTTTTTTCGTTTTTAATTAAAACAAATATTATTCGTGAAAATGTTTTTTTGAAAAAATTGTAGGGAGTTACCCTTCGATGTCCCCCACCCTCCTATAAAAAATAAAACATACCCCCCCAGCCAAAAAAAAAAAAAAAAAAAAAAATACCGCTCTCCGTGAACTCCATGAACTCCCGTGTTGTGAACGTCGTGAACTCCATGACCGGTCTCCGTCCACAGACCCGTGAACGGTGAACGGGGGTATGGCACTGTGTGTGTGTGTGTGCGTGTGCGTGCGCGTGGTGGGTGGCGGGGGGGTGGGGCAACCCCTCCCCCACCACTCAATCAATCAATCAATCAATCAATCAATCAATCAATCAATCAATCAATCAATCAATCAACAAAAAAAAAAAGAAGGAAAATCGAATGAATCTTTTGCTAGAACATGGAAATATACAATACTGCGTGTGTATGTGTGTGTGTGGGCCTGTTGGGGACGGGGGGACGACCCCGCCCCCACCAATCAATCAATCAATCAATCAATCAATCAACGAAAAGAAAAAAAAAGCAAAATCGAATGAATCTTCAGCTATAACATGGAAATATACATTCCTACCTATGTGTGTGTGTGTGTGTGTGCGCCTGTGGGGCTAATCAATCAATCAATCAATCAATCAATCAAATCAATCAATCAATCAATCAACGAAGAAAGAAAAGAAAAAAAAACGCTGTTTTTTTTTTTTTTTTTTTTTCGAAATACCTTCACTAACCCAAACCTACCCACCCAAAAATTGTTTTTTCTTTATTATTTTGTTTTGCTTGAGGGGGTCGGGCTGGGGTTGCGCCGCCCCATGGCGCTTCCCGAATCCCCAACCCCCCTCCCCAGTGGCCGCCACACGTCTGCGAAGTCGCGCGGCCGCGCGGACGCGTTCGCGGGGTCGCGGACTTGGCCGTGCTTGTCCGCCGCCGAGGGGGATTTGCTGCTGTGCGTCGAAGTCCAGATCCGCCGTCGTCGTCCCCACCTCTCCAGCAGTCGCTCCCGC